CGCTCTTCCTCACCCTCTTCAGTTCCACTATCCGTTTTCCACGACATTGTCGCTCTCGGAGTAGCCCCCACGACTCACACATTCAACATCCTCGCCCATGGCTTCGTCTCTCGCGGCCAATTCACCGATGCCCTCTCCCTGTTTTCCACCATGGAAGGCTTTGGATGCTCGCCGGACACTATCACGTACAACACAATACTCGACGGGTATTGCCGTAAAGGCATGCTTAAGGAGGCTCGTGACTTGCTTGCAGAAATGAAGGGCAGAGGACTTCTGCCTGATCGCTCCACCTACAATACACTTATTGCTGGTTACTGCCGGATTGGTTGGTTGAAAGAGGCCACAAAGGTGATTGAGCTCATGACCAGATCCAATTTCTTACCTGATCTATGGACCTACAACATGCTTATCTTGGGGATGTGCAGGGAGGGAAGAATGGATGAAGCTTCGAGACTTAAAGATGAGATGGAGAAACTAGGAATTATGCCTGATGTCGTCACTTACAATACCCTTATCAAAGGTTGTTTTCAGTGGCAGAATGAAGGTACTGCTCTTCGAATGTTGGAGGAGATGAGGAGCAAGGGGTTGAAGCCAAGCTTGGTAACCCATAATATATTGGTTAAGCAGTTGTGCGAGGAAGGGAAAATGGGGGAAGCAGTTATGAATTTGAAGAAGATGGAGGAAGAATTTACCAAACCGGATAATGTTACTTATAATACTTTGATCAGTGGGTATTGCAGGTATGGTGATTTTGCTGAAGCGTACAAATTAATGGATGAGATGGTTGGAAGAGGGCTGAAGATGGACACTGTCACCCTGAACATTGTCCTGAATGGTTTATGCATGGAAAAAAGGTTTGATGAAGCTTGTGAGCTTCTTCGAAGCCCTCCAAAGCGTGGTTTTGTTCCAGATGAAGTCAGCTATGGAACTGTGATCAATGCTTATTTTAAGGAGGAGAATTTGTCTGATGCATTGAATCTTTGGGATGAGATGCAGAAGAAAATCATAATCCCTAGTATTGCTACTTACAATGTACTGATTTCTGGGCTCTGCAAAGCAGATAGGATGGAGGAGGCCATCCAGAAGTTGAATGAGCTCATGAGCAAGGGATTGGTGCCAGATGATACCACCTACAACACTATCATTCACACTTACTGCAAAAAAGGAGATCTTGAGAGTGCATTCCAGTTCCACAACAAGATGGTGGAGAATTCTTTCAAACCAAATGTTTTCACCTGCAATATTCTTCTCCATGGACTCTGCAACAATGGTATGGTGCATAAAGCTTTGAAATTTTTTGATTCATGGTCATCAAAGGGGAAGAAGGTTGATGTTATCACCTACAATATTCTCATTAATGGCCTCTGCAAGGAGGGGATGATGGATGTTGCGATTAAGCTTTTTACAGACATGGAGGATAAGGATGTAAAACCTGATGCGTATACTTGTCATGTGATTTCATGTGCTTTATCCGAAGCAGGGAGAACTGAAGAGGCCCAAAATATACTGTCTAAATTATCTGAATCTGATAAACTAGCAAAGCACTTTTCTTGGCCCTTGGCAGGAGTAGAAGCTTCAAAGGAGGATTCTGAGAAAGAACCGCACAGCATTACAGATGGAAATATGGAGGATGATGATAAAGCGAGCACATCAGAAACATATTCTGATCAGATCAATGATTTATGTAGTAAGGGTCATTTCAAAGAAGCTAAACTTGTACTGGAAGAAATGATTCAAAAAGGTGTACCTACTAAGAGCTCAACATATATTACTTTGATGGATGGATTTATTAAAAGACAGAAAAGAATGACTAAAGGACCTGGGTAGAAAAGCAGGCAAACCAAATTACATTTTTGTACGAGGTAAAGAGCACATTTTTTGTAAAATATTTGGCATTTTTGTATTGTGGTACTTAATTTGTTTTATAGATTTTTTTTTTCGAGTTATATAATATGAAGCATCCGAAAATCAATAGCGCAGCATCGAACACCAAGAAAAAATTAAAGGAGAGAGTCTGTGCACAGCCCAACAACATAACTGACAAAATAACCTGTATATAATATAAGCCATCAATGATAGCTGAAACCAGATAGAAAAACCAATTGCAGATAATAAATAACAATAAAAGGAAGTGCATATCCTCAATAAAACTAAAAAGGGCTGCCTACTAGGAGATTATTTCCTTTCCATCTAAATTGATATTTGATGCCATGTAAAGTTATGAAGGAGTTGGAAATATCCTTTTCAAAATTCTATAATTCCTTTCCTTCCAGATATTGTATTGTAAGCAAGAACCATCATAATACTAAGCCATCCTTTGGTGCCTTACGAAGGAGAGAAGGAGATAGATAGAGGGATAGAAAAAAAAATTATTGTGAGGTATTGTAGTTTTCTCATTCAGATTTGACACGGTCTTTTCACCATCGATGTGGTCAACAGCTGAGTATTCTAATAGTTGTTGAAAGATAGGTCTTTGATGTAAGAAGCTATCAATGAGGAGCCTTTCAAGAAGCAACTTATGTGAAAATGGAGGTGCAAAGAGGAAGTGGTTAATGCTCTCATTGTCAATATTGTTTGTATGCATATTAGATTTTTATGAACACCCTTTTCATTCAAATCAGCAATTTTAATCCCCTCATCAAGCACCAACCATCCAAGAGAATTTCAGGGCATGGTGGTTGTGCCAAATTAATCCAACCTAAGTCATATTTTGCAGCTTTTAGTGTTCGGTTTAGTGTTCGTGTTCCAAGCGGCTATGTCATTCCTTTCATTGATGGTAATGCTCTTTGTGGTATGTTTAATCTGATCAGGAAGATCTAGAGTTTGTAGGACCATGCTCTCATCCAATCAGCTAAAATAGTTGAGAGCTTCTTTGAAGAAAGAAGAGGGAGAACCTGCTGCTTGTTTCTCCCAATTGTCTTAGCCAATTATTTCCACGAGATTAAGGGTCATAAAACTTAGAGAGTGTGATGTCATTGCTAAAGTGAAAAGGAAAGGTGTTGTCTTGTTTTGCAAGTTGAGCTAGGCTCTTCTGAAAAGTGATTCATGAGTTAACTTGAACCTGTTAGTAATTTTTCGAGTCTCTTGGAGTGAATAGATGTGTCTCTTGGAGTGAAGTGGGTTAGGTGAGCGAGGGCGTGTTAGTAATTTTATCTGTTGGTTTTATCTATATATATGATGTATAACCTTATGGGTATGTACTAGACTCCTTTGAAATAGTGAAATTCGCCGCTATGCTTCCTAGTACGTAGGCATTTTTGTCGAACCTCGTTAAATCTGTGTTCTTCTGGATTTATATTGATTCTTATTTTTCTTCGTCCTAAATTTATAAACAATTGGTATCAGATTTGTGATTATTTAAGTGAAGACATTCAAATGCTGCACCAGATCAGCGTCTGTCTGCATCTTCAGACCATACAGTATTTGCTTCAAAGACAGTTTATTTGTTAGAGATTTGGAGGTAAATTGAGATTCCAATTTTTTTCATACTTCTCCTGGAGATTTCAGATTCATAACATGATACATAATCTCATCTGTCAGACATAAACATATGGTACATGCCGCTCGTAGTTTTCTTCTCTGCCCTACACATAAACGTATGGTACCTCCCGCTCCTCTGTCGCGAAACGTCGGGATTCCTCCCGCTCCTGCTCGGTCGCGAACAGTTCCCGCCTACTCCCGTTCCCGCCTTCCCTGTTTCCACCAAGCTAAGCACCTCTTCGCTTATTATAAGTCGCGAACACAACAGTAAGGTCGGATTGTCTCTCTGGTTTGCGGTTCTTCCTTTGGTGTCTTACGAAGGAGAGAAGGAGAGAGATAGAGGGATAGAAAAAAAAATTATTGCGAGGTATTGTAGTTTTCTCATTCAGATTTGACACGGCCTCTTTTGTGTTCATTTTCGGGCTTCCTCGGGATAGAGAAAGAGAAGTGCAAGTAGTAGTTCCTTGCGACAGAAGGAAAAAGAAAGAAGAAAAAGATTGTTCTCCCTTGGCTTCTTTTTGGTCTTTTGTGTCAGAAGAAAAATTGAGTTTATTTCTCTTGTAAGTTTCGCTTGTGTCAGAAGAAAAATTGAGTTTATTTCTCTTATAAGTTTATCTTCTTCGGTGTATCTCGGGGTAGAGAAGAAGAGAGAGCAATAGGGTGAAACAGTTCACTCTTGTAAGTCGAGACGATCGACTGATGTAAATTCCTCAAGTAATATAATCTTCTGCAACTCCGTGGACATAGTCAATTTGCCGAACCGCGAAAATCTGTGTGTTCCGCTGTGTTACTTGTTTTTTGTGTGAATTTTCTCGTTCTATTTTTCGCTTCGTCGTCGATCATTATATTTCATACATACATATACCACAACAGAACCACAATTTAGGATTAGAGTTTCTCCACCAAGAAGAAACAAGGTTTTGAATAGTTAGGTAACTCCAAATAATCTTGGTTATGCAGGTCCTGTGAAGCACTACGAAGTTAGGGATATCAAGGCTCATTTTTCTTTTGACACAAGTTGTTTCCCATGGTATGAATTGAAGCTTGGTGGACTTAGGGTCGCCATCATAAAGGAATCTAAGGCTGAGACTATTAAGTTTTTTTCCAATAGACCTTTAGTTATGAAAATAGATATAGTCCAATGGGAGAGGAGGTTCAAAATGTAAAACTTAAAGAGTTGAAGTTGGTTAGCTACAGGCAAGAAAATGTTTTTCAAATGCACTAAGAGATTGGATCATTAATGCAGCACAGTAATAGTGGCAATGACATTTCTGGGAATCTTGCACCGGTTGAAGAACTTAATTGCTATAAAGTTCTTCAAACAGACGAACCAAAAACCCCTCCTCATTCGCACTGCTTGGGATACATTTCTGCCTATGCTTCGTCTTCTTCGGTTCAGAATAAGCGCAACGAAACTGTAAGGTTCTTAACGGTATTTCTTTTCTTTTTTTGTTTTGTCTGCTTGAAGCCACGACAGAGCGGAGCTTTCCACATCGCTGCCTCCTCAAGCCGTGCGTGAACTCTTGTCTGCCCTCGACGTCTCCCTCTCTCGTTCTCATACGAGCTTTCGCGTTGTCATCCCCTCAAACTATCGCCAAAGTCCTCCTTGTCTTCCCCAATCTCGACCAGGACTTTCCTCCCTGTCGCGATCTTCCCCTTTCACCGAGGTCGTCACTCTCATTCATCCATCCTGAAACTAAGACGAGAATGCGTGAGAGGACCACCGCAATTCCGGAGGTCCCGATCCTACTTCCGCCTCACTCTACATGAACCCTTGGCTCTACCGCCCCTCTCCTACAAATCAAAAGGGAAAAACGATTTTATGTCTGTTTGGGGGCAGATCAAGCTTATTCAATAATCTGCTGATATGTTAGGCGCGATAACTATTATAATTTTTTATTTAAAAAAAAAAATTAAATCGTTGTCAGAAAACTGTCATCGCATCTTTTCCGCCTCACTCTACATGAACCCTTAGCTCCACCGCACCTCTCCTACAAATCACAAGGAAAAAAAACTATTTTATGTCTGTTTGGGGGCAGCTCAAGCTTATTCAATAATCTGCTGATAAGTTAGGTGCGATAACTATTATAAATTTTTATTTTTTTTTGAAAAAGTCATGCCGTTATCAGAAAGGCACCTAGATATGTGCGGTGTGAAAACCCTGTTTTCAGTATTTTGAAAACGCATAAACTGTCAAAACACAGTTTACCCAAACAGGTCGGATGCGTTTTTAAAACTTTACCGCACCAAATATGCTGCCCCAAACAGACCCTTAGCCGAAGACTTCATATCTAAATCGGAAGCCCGAATTGAATTTTCCTCTGCTTCTCTCTGTTCAAACTCGATCTTAAAAGTTAAACCTATACCACACTGTTATCATTGCACTTCCTGCTAAACCAAACGCTTCTCCTTATTCGAGCCCGACCTGCTCGCCACTGCCTTAGCCACTTTAATGTTTGTTTTACTTTCTTGTTATATTATTGTTTACTGTTGTAGTAATGATAAACAAATGTTTGTATTTTTATTTTATTGTCGCCGTTGCCGTCAACAACATTGAAGCTTGAAAAAGTTTTAATTTTGAGGTAATAAGGTAAATTTTGAAATGTCCACTCGAGGAAGTGTGAATACCCGTTTGTGTGGAATTACGTATAGTTCGGGAAAAAACATGGACTCGTTTGGAAATTTTTTTAAAATGAGGATTTTAAACCATCTGTTCGTGGGAAAGTGAATAATTCTCCGTGGGAATTAAGTACCGCTCATTGAAACGTTCAGGAAATGCTAATTTGCAATCTAATCTTTTGTGCATGTACATTGAAAATATGTTGTGACTTTTAAAATAACTGGTTAAATTAATATTTTTGCTCTCCAGTTGCGTTGCAGTGTTTCACGATACTGACCAGCACGTCTTTTAAGACAGTTGAGAAGGTTGACATTCTCCCGTGCCCTCAAATGGGGGTTGAAACTTGGAGGTTGTCGAAATTTTGGGAGATTTGGACTTGTAAACCACCTTAACCCTGAATTTTCAAAATCATAAAATGAATCATTTGAAATTAAAAAATAAGTTAAAAATTTTGATATTTTAAAATTCTTTAGGCTCCAAGGCTTAATATTATTCAAAATTTAAAACTTTTATGATCTTAGGGCTTTTAAAGATAATTTCATTTTTTTGGGCTTTTCGAACTTGAAATTCTAAAGTTGAAAATCAAAATCAATAAGAACTTTTAATATTAAACTTAAGTCTCGATGGTTAAACTAACCCAAAGTCAAGCTTTCAAAATTAAGAGCTTAGGGTTTACAATTAATCCAAAAATTTAGAATTTTCAAATCTAAACTCTTAGATTTGATTTGATTTGATTTGATCCAAATATTAAATATTTGTATTTTCAAAAATAGATTAATACATTTGAGTCTTAACCTAATTTAAAATTGAAATACCAAATTCACAAGGCTAAGCTTAAGTTGCAATTCAAATACCCTAAATTAAGGAGCTAAGTTTGATTTGGAAAAAACCCTCCACTAGATTCACAATAAACCTGCTAGCGAAAGGAATGTGGTCCCTTTTTAAAGCCTAAAATCATGTGCTTGTGCAAATACTTTTAAATCCAAATGATTTCAAAATTTATAAAAATTTGTGATTAGCTCCCAAATTAAATGATAAATCTTGAAATGTGAGTCCACTCTTAAGACTTAGATGATTACCACTTGAACTATCTTGAGCAACCCTTGAGATATGCATGTTTTAGGGTGTTTATATAAGTGAATTAATTATGCATATTCTTAATGCCTGTATGTACTTCAACCAATGTATCAAATATTCAAACACTAGGTTTGAGAATGCTATGTGGGCTAATTAGATCATTTTGTCTATATGACAAGGTTGTAAGTCCCACCCGACTAGTCCAATTCTCCTCTTCGCAACGACTGGAGTTGACGTGTCTGGTAAGCCCTAATAAATCAGATCATTTTGTTTATATGACAAGGTTGTAAGTCCGACCCGACTAGTCCAATTCTCCTCTTCACAAGGACTGGAGTTGACGTGTCTGGTAAGCCCTAATAAATGTCCAAATTCTAAAATAATAATTGAGAAGTTCAAATTTCTCAGCCCGATCCTCCTTCCTATAAAGATAGGAGTTGACATGGTTTATACTTTGAAAAGCTTAAAGCAATGAAACTAAATGTCCCCTCTTTTTGAATAGAAAAGCTTTCAAATGTTCAATATCTCGATGATGGTCGTGTTGATCTAAAATTTCAACTAAAAGCTTTAAAATGTTCAATATCCCAATGATAATCGTGTTGATCTAATATTTCAACCGGAATGGTCAATCTTTTAAATCAAAATTTTTGAAGTAGTCAACTAAAGCGCTTAAGTTTAAATAAATCATTGAAAGCTAAAAACAAAATTTAGCCACCCTACAGTTTGTTGAGGTGACAAACTTCTTATTGACTTCACCTCACAAAGAACGAATGTCATATCGAATGTATCAATATATTCACAATCAAAATACTTGCACATCAGTATGAACGTGGCCCGAGCCATCTATCCACATGGTTTTGTCATCAAATGACACCACAAAATAGCTGCTACGACTAGAGTCCTTTTATCGGGTGGTTGCGACTAAATTATACCATTATATTACGGTTATGACTGCAACCCGTTTGTTTTCCAATGGCTTTCTATACTTTGAGTTGTGAATCATAATGCTTCAATTGGTTGATATAAAACCTTATGTTACCTAATGTCGATTTAAATATGTCTCTTTAGACAAATATTCACCCCAGATCTATAAGGATTTCTTGGATGACGCAACCTATGAATGCTGACAAGAATCTTTCTGTCAAGTTGGGTCAACTACCCCTCCGACTAAGTAGATAAGGGATCGCGACAGCCTAGGATGATGAAACAATGAGATCTTGATCAAGTTTCGTCTTTATTGCC